TTGCCACATTTGAATTAGAAAAAAAAATCTTTTTAAACCCACAACCGAGTTGCTCTACTCAACCCTATTGGCATTTTCTTTCTTTTTTGTTTTATTTATTTGTTATAACTCATTTGGACTATAAACATTATATTGTAAGTAATTTAACTTTATTTTTATTAACAAAATACAGTAAAATATATAAAATAATTTTTTCTACAAATAAAGACCAATATTGATATATTTGAAGAATTTAATTTGTTGTTTTTATTGCCTACGTAATTTTAAAAAGAGTTAAAAAATTTGGGTTATAAATTGAAGAAAAAAAGTAATATTTATTTTGTATAACATAATAAAAATTAATTTTAAATAATATAAATGTTGGATTTTGGTTGGGTTGCTAATGAGTGTAAAAATATAGTTTAGGTGGATTGTGTAGGTTGAAGAGAGAAACATTAGTTTTTTAATTGATAGTTAGATTGGTTTTGGTTGTGAATGAGAGTAGTCTTAAGCTCTCCAATTTAGAACGGTCTTTGAATTATTAGTGAATAGCTCGGTCCAAAAAATCAAGACCGTATAAATCAAAAAAATACATAATTTTATTGTAAAATATTATATAAAAAATGCATATCATCGTATATGAATAGCAAAAACTAAACTCTCTATATTCATAAATTACCCATCAGATAGGTAGTGTTTGTTTTTTGTCTGCAGATCTGCGTGACCTCTTTTGTCTGCACCGCGCAGACCACGCGCAGACATTAACATTCGCAGACTTTTTGTTTCTTTTGAAGACTGCAGACCTAAAATTGTATGTGCGCCCTCTTCTTGTCGCAGATGTGGATCAGAGTCTTCTAACATCTTTAGACATCTTCTAGCCTAAAAAAAACATATATATCTTTATTTTTTTTAAGTTTTTTTTTTAATTTATATTTTTTCCAACTTTATTAATGATAAACAATTTGAAAAAAAAAATTACAAAACCTAAAAAAAAACATTCGACGATACAAACATGATATTTTTGACAAATTTATAAATAAAGATTTATTACAATAATAGTCGTTGAAGTTGTTTATATAAATATGAAAAAAATCATAATATATTCTTATATTTTTTTTGCCAAATTTTGTAAAACATTATTTAATACAGTATCGTCAATTTCTTGAAAAAATATTTATGGTACATTTTAATGGATTTAATTGAAAAAATCGAAGTTTATTTCCATCCATTTATGTATCAAATTCTTTGATCACCAATTATAATGTTTAGTTATAACTTTGCAACCAAAGTTGATCTAGATTCGTTAATTATTTATAACAAAGTCATAAAAATATTAAAAAATCACTTTGAAGTTTAAAAAAATCAGTTTATTTAGATTTCAGTTTATTTTAGTAGCCCGCAGATGTTAAAAAAAAACAAACAGTCTTCTTTTTTAAGACTGCAGACGTTTGGTCCACCTCTTCTGCTGCAGAGGTCTATAGATGTGGTCCGCAGACCGTAGACATTTTGCCTTAGAAAAAACAAACAACAGCAGTCGTTAAAAAATTCTTTGATCACTAATTATAATGTTTAGTTATAACTTTGCAACCAAAGTTGTTGGTTTTATCAAATATATATGTTAATTCATACCATTTTTATTTTTATTTTTTATACAATAATACATAAAAGTTGATCTAGATTCGTTAATTATTTATAACAAAGTCATAAAAATATTAAAAAATCACTTTGAAGTTTAAAAAATCAGTTTATTTAGATTTCAGTTTATTTTAGTAGCCCGCAGATATTAAAAAAAACAAACAGTCTTCTTTTTTAATACTGCAGACGTTTGGTCCACCTCTTCTACTGCAGAGGTCTACAGATGTGGTCCGCAGACTGCATACATTTTGCCTTAGAAAAAACAAACAACAGCAGTCGTTAAAAAATAAATCTTGTCAAGGACTATAAATTGTAAAAAAAAAAGGCAATTAATAAAATCAAGTCTCCAAAAGAATATAATTATATAGAGGTTAAAAACACCATTTCAAACGGTCACAAGGTTAACTGTTGAAAATTATACGAACAAGGTATAGAAAGAAATGGTAAAATCCTAAAGTAATTTCCAGGAGTAAAAGGCACGATATTAAAGGTAGGTTAAATATACACATTGGCTTCAGTTTACAAACGTATAATAAAAGGCTATAGAATGATTGCTTTTGCGCTTGGTCAGATTACGTACGGTATAGTCTGATTGGAAGTTTGGAACAATATATACATTGTCCTTATATATATATATATATATAATATATATATATATATATATATATATATATATATATATCTATATATTAATATATATATATATTATATATATATATATATATATATATGAGGGTTCAATTGAGAAAAAAAAAGGTTGAGAATGGGGGAATCATTCTCAGCCACACATTTATTTTGCCGCAAAATACTTAGGCGTATCGTCGGAAATGGATAACGGATAAACATGTGTTTTCCAACCAAACATGTTTCCTTAAACTATGCTAATCATTACCTTAATATACACAAAAACATATTTTTTTTCGTTTTTTTTTATTTTTAGAAAGCCATTATTATCGAAAAATTATTTTAAATATATCAAAATTCATAATTTTTTATTCTCTATAAATAGACATCCATATTGATATACTTTTAAGATAAAATAAAAAATTGATTTTTTTTAGAGTTTCAGCTCTCGTTATTCATAAGTGAATAAAAAATCTATCAGATTTTTATTACGGTATATTCGTTATTCACTTATGAATAAAACGTATGCGTAACTTTTTTTATAGTTTAAGTACCGTTCATATATGAATATGACACGCAATAAAGTTTTCTTACTTAAAATATATTTTTTACATCATCTTTCATCATATATTATATTTATATATATAAATAAAACGTTTATTAGTTGTCGTCATATTTTATATTCATATATGAATAAAACATTTATCAGATTTTTGTTACAGTTAATTTGTTATTCATATATGAATAAGTAGTATAAATGATACTTAAACTGTAAAAAAAATTAATTATAGATTTTTACTCATAAATGAATAACGAATGTACTGTAGTAAAAATCTGATGCATTTTTATTCACTTATGAATAACGATAGCTGAAAATATAAAAAAAAATTATTTTATCTTAAAAGTATATCAATATGGATGTCTATTTGTAGTATTTAAAAAATCATAAATTTTGGTATATTTAAAATCATTTTTCGATATAAATAGCTTCTTAAAAATTAAAAAAAAAAAAAAAAAAACTATGTTTTGTATATATTAAGGTAATGATTAGCATAGTTTAAGGAAACATGTTTTGTTGGAAACACATGTGTATTCCTTATCAATTTCCGCTGGTACAACAAAGGCTTTTGCGGTAAAAACAAACAGTGTGAATCTACACTGATCGAGGTTTTTTTTTTTTTTTTTTTTTTTTTGTGAACCTTCTCAGATTCACAGTGTACATAATAGTAATTCAGATTCACAAAGTGAATCTGAGCTCTTCGAGATTTTTCATATTGTGAATGTTAAAAATTAAAATATTTACAGTTTAGATTCACAGTGTGAATCTACACTGTTCGAGGTTTTTTTTTAATCGTGTTGATGTTTATTAATAAAGTACAAAAAATTAATATTTTTGGTATAATTAGTTTTTTTTTGATAAAAATAAACTTAAATATTGAAAAAACTAAGAAAATTAAGTGAGTTTTTTTCGAAAAAAAAAGTTCGTTTTTTTATATATCATCATGGATCTCTATGGAAAGAGGACGAAAAATCGTGAACAACAGTATATTGGGTTTTTTTTTCGATAAAAAATTTGGCATAAAAAAAATTTTAAATGAAAAAAAAGAAAGTGAGTTTTGTTATAATCCGGTACATGTGCGTCTATTATAAAAGTTTACAACCCTTCATTTTACCGTTGATCGTTTTATATTCCGACGCTTTGGATTGGTTCCTTGGTTCCTTGATTAATAATGATTCTCTATTGAACTTTTTCATATATATATATATATATATATATATATATATATATATATATATATATATATATATATATATATATATATATATATATATATTCTTCCCAAAAGAGCTATAAAAATAGTGAATGGAATTTGAACCATATATAAAAGGAAACCACAACGGGAACATCAAACAATTGTTAATTGTCTGTTGTGTATTTACATATTCTAGTTTAGCTACCCCCTTTATTTCCTATTAGACTTTTCCTATTAGACTTGTAATAAAAGTGTTTCTGATGGAGAGTGTTTGTCAACCCTTTCAAAGGTGTGTCCACTTGGTGTTGTATTTAATTATATTATAAGTTTTTAACAAATAATTATCGGTATTAACGATTTCCTGCATCATCTATCAGTGGTATATAATTCTTAGCAGCATGGAACATGCATGATAGGTTATAGGTTCTTAATGGAATATGAATGTATACATCTTCTTCTTCGAATAAAAAGAATACATCATATAAATTAAGATTTATTTTAATAATATTGTTTTGATTATTTGAAAACCAACGTATTATTTGATCAACAACAATAAAGAGAGATAATTATTTCTTTTATGTTTACTTGGTTTGGGACTGAGAACATATAAGCTGTTACGATTAAAATAATATTTTAAAAGACTGATAACTAAGTTCACTAAAAAAACAATAACACCGAAAAAACATAACTGATAATTTCACGGTATGTTTTTTGTATGTTAATAAATATCAATCATTCGTATATATTTTCTCTTACTCATCTTATTATCTTATTAAATATGTCATTCATTTGTTATCGTTTACCATGGATCATATTTAATTTCTCTTGTATGAATTGAGATCCTATTTCATATTCAAACCCAGATAACAAAAACAGCAAGCATCTAAACATTCTTGTTGACGAAAATTTGAAGACCAATTCAAAACCTGAACTTCCCAAACATAAAATTAATGAAGTATTTAGTATAAAACACAATTAGAGATTATATTCTAAGGAACTGAAAAGGACCCGCTACCGCTCTCAAACTGCAAAATGTCTCCTCGCTCAACCCACTATAAATACCACCATTAATCATCCATCTCAAAACCACCTTCCTTTCCTTAACAATCACCTTATCACCTTCCGATACAAAGTGATAAAGGTTATATTGTTTATTCATAGCAATCAGGACTTGCCATGGCTACTAGTGCTTATGTGTTGATGATTAGCATGATGATGCCCATCTTTTTGGCTTCGTTTGTCTCTGCAGACCCTGACTTGCTTCAAGATGTCTGTGTTGCAGATCTTGCCTCAGGTACTTCGTTTCTAGTTATTCTAAGTGATTTGAGTTTCCATGCGTATGTCAATAAACAGCTTTACATTCATTCTGCAATAAACCTCCAAGTTTGAGCTGTGACTCATCAAGTTCTTGGCCAAATAGGTGATGCGTAGGAAAAAAAAGAGGGTTAAGCTTTCGAAAATCTATAGTAATTTACCTATCTTTTCGTGGTTGTAGAGGCCTTATGTAATAATCGAACTGGTTCTTATCATATCTATTACTTCATGGTAAACCGGATAGGATTATGCCATTGAAAAGTTTGCATATTTGTATAATGTGTTTTGTCATTTGATGAGAAGTTAACTATTGATGACTTATTGTACAAAAACAGATATAAAATTGAACGGATTTCCCTGCAAAAGCAACATTACTGCAGACGATTTTTTCTTTGCGGGGCTAGTGAAGGCAGCTCTCACTAAAAACACATTCGGTGCAACTGTTACACCTGCTTTTGTCCAACAAGTCCCCTGGGCTTAACACTCTAGGCGTGGCCATGGCTCGGATTGACTACGCACCAGGTGGCCTGAACCCACCACACACCCACCCAAGAGCCACCGAGATAGTGTTTGTGTTGACCGGAGAACTGGATGTGGGTTTCATAACTACAGCAAACAAACTATTCACCAAGACAATCAAGATGGGTGAAGTGTTTACGTTCCCTAGAGGCTTAATTCACTTCCAGATTAACAATGGAAAGGTTCCTGCAGCGGTGATTGCAGGTTTCAACAGCCAGCTGCCGGGTACCCAAAGGGCGGCAGACACTTTGTTCGGGTCATCTCCTCCGGTGGAAGATGTTGTGTTGACTAAGGCATTCCAAATTGGAACCAAAGAGGTGCAGAAAATCAAGTCCAGGTTTGCTCCTATGAACATGAAGTAAAATAACAAGTACCCACGTGTTTGATTCATATGGGCTTGGATGGTTTTCTTTTTGTTCTTCAATAAAAGACTATGGAGGAAACAGGTGTCCTACGGCTCCCAGATTTCTGATTTTGTCAATAAAACAGTCATTTTCTTGGTTCTATTTTCCCTATATATAGACTTCATGTACAATGATTCATAAACGATTTTTGCTATCTCTTTAATATTTATATATTAGTTGGCAAATATATTAAATGCTTTCAGAAATGACTGAATTATGATGATAATAATAAATTAATTAATTAAAAATTAAAAAAAAATCCAATTTACTTTTATTACAAGGGAGCACGGTTCTAGGGGGGTATTCCGTTTAGAGTGGTCGGCATAGCCTTATTGAGATAGGTGAAAATTTTCGTGGGGATAGATTCCGTCAGGATTTATTTTCGAAAAAAATAAAAGTTTTATTAATTACTTTTGTGGACGACAAGTCGTCATGATAGGCCCTCTATACCAACAACAAGTTGTTGGTAAAAGGTTTTGACAGTTTTTTAGAGAGAGCTATAGCGACGACATGTCGTCGCTATAATCATTGTATTTTTTTTACAGATTCTATAAATTTACCATTTCTGTTTTTTGACAAATCCAAGCATTTGCAACATCTATCCATAATAATGTGAAATTCAATTCTAGTATTACATACCAAAATGAGCCACCATAGACAAGCAATGTTCAAAATAACACAAAAAATCAATCATCATCATCATAATATTATTCTTCTTCCGTCCCCTCGGTCTCGTCGGTTTGTTGAGAGGTATTTTGTTGTGTGTCGGGATTGAATAGAAAGTTAAGCATTGGTGGTTGTTGGAAGTTAGAAATACATGTCACCAACAAGTCATTATGCATTGGGTTAATGCATCAAATTGAAAATCCTTCGTATTTTGGGATTGAGATGGGGAATATTTGAAAGGTCATTGATTTGAAATTAGACCTACGTTGATGGTTGGTTTCCTTCCCACTCCATGAGTATGCCCGCATCTCTTCCAGAGGGCACCATCAAGATATTCTATTTCATTTACATATCCATCCTCCCCGGCCTCTGTTTGCATTTTCTCATACTCTTGTTGAATCTTCTCCTAAAATTAAAAAAAAAAAAAATAAACATAAATTAATTAAAACAAAAAAATAAATTTAAACACAATAATAATAATAATAATAATAATAATATATTTATAAAGAAAAAGTATACTTGAAAATAATAACATATTTAAACAACATATTAATTTTGTTTATCATTTACCTAATATTCTTGTGCTAGATTTGTACTCCATCCATAGCCCTTCATAAAAGCCCCATCAAGACCTAGAATCTATCTTCTCCTTGCCATCAAAACATGTTTGCAAGCTCCCAAAAACACATATATTATCTTAATTTTTTTTTTCCTATTGACATATTAGGTTCACCTTTAAGAATAGTTTTTTTTTAACTCCAAAACATAGGCTTTAAAACTGTTTACTACTATTTGTAATCAATATATATTATGTTAAAAATTGGATTCTTTTGAAGCTCTTCTCTTAAAGCAGTCATATGAATCCTAGGCCTTCCCTTAATTTGTTGTATGATTTTTTTGCAAAAAAACCTTGAGTGCAACTTTTAATTTTCCCTATTGGAAGACATTTATGGTCGCCAATGAAGGATTTTACCATCCAATCATTTTATTTTTTTATTCTAGGCACATAAAGACCCAAGGAAATGTTTCTCGCTCTAAGTTACATTTAGTTTCCAAAACATTAATTATTAAAGTTTAGGATTCATGTTGCATAACAAATATATGGTTCAATATCATTTATCTTATTCATTTGAATCTAAATAGGTAGATATCGATTATAAATTATATACTACTATATAATTCTTTGATTTATGGGATCGCTAATAACAAAATTTAATTAGACATGTTTGATCTCATCTATGCCTCAAAAATATCTTGCTTATGTACCTTTTATCACAAAAGATTTACGATCAAATCATCTAATTTAAAAAACTTGTGTAATCGGCATATAACTTGGTTATAGAAATCACAAACTCACCCCGACCATCAAAAGATAACACTAAGCAGTTAGGTGATCTTTATCTCACTAGTACATACAAGAAACGTACGAGAGTTTTTCAAAATGGATTGCATATATTTGAGTTTTATAAGGGGTATTTGATATTTTTATAATCTAGTTTAAAAAACAAATTATATCATGGTTATTGCATTCATCCAATAATTCATGGTATATCTTTTTAAAATTTTATATTATGTAAAATCACATTTTAATAATGTTCTTTTATAAAATCCGATTTTATATAATTGATGTGGTCATATTTTAATAACTAGTATTAAGTTTTACTATTGGAGCACTTTAAAACATTTGTAAACCTTTTAATAAAACTTCATTTTATAAAATAAGGTTTGGAGTTTGATGTCTTTATAAATCTCAATTTTAAATTTATATATAATTTTAATCCTGAAATTTTACTGATTACTAGTTTTAAAAATAAATCTTGTTTTATTTTAAAACTATTTTTACCATATTGAGGCAAATTTCATTAAAACCAAACTCCTTTATAATGTTTGTTTATGTTCAAATATTATTTTTCACTTGAAACCTAATTTATCAACCATAACCCAATATTAACATAAATATAAAACAACACAGGTAAGCAAAAAATCATATGTACATAAACCAACAAAGTCTAGTGACATTTTTGTGAGCCATCACAAAAATGCCAAGTCCATTCCTAAACGGGCATAAGGTACCAAAAACTTCTAGTGATGTTGTTGAAGTTCCCACTTGAGAAAATATCTAATGCTTGTAAAGTAGTTGAAAACTTCTTGAAGGTGTATTTTCAACAACATGCAACACTTCAGAAATGGTTGCCTTAGGACTTTTACCTCAAGGAACCTGATGCAACACTTTTCCAACAGCAACACTTTTCGCAACACTTTCTAGAAAAGTTTATGTTTACACCTGCTATTAAAAAATAACAAAAACAACCCTTTTTTATCTTCAAAATTAGCCCAATCTTCATTTTTTGTTACATTTTTGTACAAAATAAATTATTTCTAAAGCTAATCTATTTCTTACAAAAATAAACTAAATGAAAACAAATCTATTTAATTATTACATACCATATGAATAAATAAATTATTACAACCATTTTAAACAAATCAACACAAACAACACAAGATTTCATGGCTAGTTTATGCACACCATACATATATATACTTGAAATTATATAAAACAACTCTTTGTTTTCTAAACAACTTTTGTGACAAAAATGCATGTAAACTTTTGTCACCAAAAAATAACAATTATAAACTTGTTAAAGAAAATATGTATTGGTTTTTTCTTGCAAAGAAAAAATCAGCCATGTTTTCCAAAAACAAAGATTTCGTCAACTTATCAAATAAACTAACCAAGCTTGCAAAAATAGCTCTGATACCAATTGTTGGGTTTTTATTCAAAAATAGTCCAATTATAGTTACAAAAGTATACTTAATTAACAACGGAAACATTTTTGTTGAATAAACTAAAACCATTTTATACCCACCAATGATCATTTTGAAAAAACATAGAAAGATTAAAAACAACCATAGAAAGGAAAGTGTTATAACCTTTGAAGACTTTGATTCTCATAGGAGATTAGAAGTTGATGAAGTGATGTGTTAAGCTCTAAATTAAGCTCTCTATAATGTATCCACCAAGCAAGCTTTAAACCGCCAAAATATGCTAGTAAACACTTAGTATAAAGTTGTTATTAAGCTTTAATATTTATACCAAATAAACCTTAAAGAGAAGCAACATACAAACTCTTAATTCTAGCATCAAAATTGCAAGAAGAAGAGGGGGAAGGGCTTCATATTTGTATAAATATGGTAGCCCTTAGAGAGTGATTTTGTGCAAAAAGATCAACTTATTTCACTAGGAAAGCCTCCTTTAAATACCCATCAATGTGTACAAAAGTCTAGACTTACAAGCGAAAGGGTATGACCTTTCTTACAGGCATGGAATGAAGAATAAAATAATAAAACACTCCATCCTCCGCTAGCTATATAAAATTCGGCCACATGAGAGGAATGAGATGATAGTGTGATCTTAACTGAATCTTGTAACTATCCAGTCAAGTTCCATCTAACTAGTTACTCTAAGTGCCCAAAAAGTTGTATATAACATTTAAATCATATTATAAGATTAAATGTAGCTTGTTATTGTTCTCTTTATTATTATTCCCTAGAAACAATAATTCGTAATTAGATGGTAAATTAATTTTTTTCATAAAATAATGTTTTTCCACACAAGTGTTGATAATATTTATTAATAATCAAAATTATACTAATAAATAATCACTTAGTGGTACCTTGCAATAAGATGTGACCCTATAGGATCATATGTTATTAGCATTATCATTCTATAATGACTCTGGGGCATACACAATCTTTCAGTGGTAACCTTAATGTAGATCAATTCTAGAAAACCATAACGACCCCCCTGAAGTTGATCAAACAAATCTTAAATCCTTGGTAGTGGATAATTGTAACGTCCCAAATTTCAAACTAAAATTTTCATTTAAAAATAAAAACATTTCTTCCAATTACAACTTCAAAGGTCTAAATAAAACCATTTGATTCAAAACATTAATAGAATGTCGTCATCAAGTTATTAAGTGCAGAAATTTCCAATGAATGCGATGCATTCGAGCCGTACCCTTCCTTTAATATAAGAAAACATGAAACAATTTAAACATAAAAATGTAAGCACAAAGCTTAGTGAGTTCCCCAAGATACCACATGTCATACATAACATAACGGGTCCATATCCACCCCAGGTGAATGGTATGGGCCAAACCATGTCGTGGGCCTTCCTTGGCCACGCTGTGGTTTCAGTCTCAAAGAATTTTCTTCATTAAGAGCTTAATCCATAAAGACCAAGGAACATAACATCAGATCTGATACATAATAGCTTCATAATGGATTAA